TCGCTTACGGCAAGGGCTTTTCTCCCTCTTTTTGATTTGGTAACAACGAGTTTATCAAAGGAGAGTTGTGGGTTCATCATTTTTTTTTTTCTTTATTAATTCCTTCTATGAAGGGTAGGGTGAGAAAGAAATATTCTATCGATTATATTTATAGTAAAAATGCTCGAAAGAACGAACAAATAATATCATGTTACAATTATTTAAATGAAACATTTTATTTAGACAAAATCATAATCTATTTTTACCCCTTTTAAGGAAATGTGTCATGTGTTATGTTAATTTTCCCCTTAATAAATAGTATTTTTTTTTTTTTTTTTTAATTATAGCTATGAATTTTATTAAAATTGTCAATGCATTGTTTTCTTATAATTCTAACATTTTTTTTTTTTAGATCCTTCCAAGTTATTTTATTTTTTTTTTTAAAAAAAAAAAAAATTACATAAAATAAATAAAAAATCGGGTCTCTACCATAATCAAATTTTTATCATAAAACAATGGGTTAGGTTCATTATTTGTAATTATCATGAAAGGACTTTACCGAATTCTTTTATGCATGTACTTACGATAAAAAGAATTTTTAAATGATATTTATTTAGTTATCTCTATTATATTAAATTTTATTCGGAAAGCATGATTCTTTTGATAAGACTTTGGGTTTCTCGTAGAACATGATTCTGTCTTCTACTAAAAAGGCCTATTGTAACAAAGCAAAAAGTTCAGTGACATAATTGATTCCACAGAGAAAATACGAACAAGTAAAAAATGAAATGAAGAAAATTTTGTGTCCTTCCATATTTTGCCTAGTACGATTGCTACTTGTTCTTTGCAAACTGTCACACAGATTGTCCGATGGAAAAATTTTGAACCAATTTACGGATAGAACCGATATATTAACTTTAGTAATAGCCTAGATGAGGAAATTTCTGATTGAAATCTTTTTTTTTTCAATCAGATCAGTTACCTGGTGTGAGAATATAAAACAACATTACTTGTTAGATTTTTCTTTTTTCTACAAAGATTGTCTTCAATTCCAATCTGTTTTTTATCATCATCTGACAGAACATAGTTTGGATGCTTACTAAATGTTTTTACTGATTTTATAATATATTTAAATTAAAATTTTCAAAATTAGTTTATACTATAAATGTATGTTGTTGTTAATT